CGCATCGCACTGTTTTGTGCAGTTTATCATTCCTCCCACACACAAACAATGTATGCAAATGCAATGCTCAATCAATACACGTATTTTCTGTATCAATGCCACAGTCAATATTAATGACTTAACCAATGTGATTAGTTCCAGTTATTCCTAATCCACATGCAATGTCTACAACAATCACGACTATCCTCCACCGATAGCCCAAAACAGTTATTTCTAAACTGAAAATAACTATGTCCACAATTCAATAGACAAATTATTCAAATTATCCAATTATGCCATTTAATCAATGAATTCCCCAATTCCATGAATTTAATCATCTTTTCCCAATTCCATGAATTACTTATACAAATCAATTCAATAATTCAACTAGGGTTTTTCCCAAAATTTACCAAAGTATTCCCAACATATTAAAATACCAAAACTTAGAACGTAACCTATAAATTGGAGTAGGAAATCCCTACCTCAGAGAAAACAACCCAAATGGTGAAGACAGAGATGAGTGCCCAAAGACCAAAATGCTCCAAATTGCCAAATGTTCAGATTAAATGAAAGCTCTTGACTCCCTCTATCTTTTTAATAAAGCAACTAGGGTTGAAACACTCTCTAAACAGATCAAACCTAAGAGAGAAGGTGAGTAGGGAGAGAGAGAGGTCGAACCTGGGGTTTTGAATCAAATGAATATGAAAAAGACTGATCAAATCCCGCTGCTGTGTATTTAAACTGGACAGGCTCGCTCGAGCGAAGACTTGGTCGCTCGAGCGACCAGACACAGAGAAACTACGCTCGAGCCAAGGAAGCCTTGCTCGAGCCAACAACTCAAATGCTCGCTCGAGCGAAAGAAAGCTCGGTCGAGCGAAGAACTCAAACCCTCAGGTCTGAACCCAGACACACGCTCGAGCGAAGGAACTATAGCTCGAGCGAAGAACAAACTAACTCGCTCGAGCGAAGAAAAGCTCGCTCGAGCCAAGAATGCACAGCTACAGGTCCAAATCAGACGCAACCTCTCGCTCGAGCTACCAAACCCCGGCTCGAGCGAAGAACCAAAAACAGCTCGCTCGAGCGACAAACTCCTAGCTCGAGCGAAGATCCAAAATTCTGGACAGCAACACTTGGTTTCTAAACCCAACCAACCTGAAACAAACCTGCCCAACACATCCTATAAGTCCAAATGAGCAAATAAGGGACAACAACAACAATTATACAATGACAGAATCTACGGAACCTAAGTCCGGATACAATAATCAAATGGGAGAAGACCGAGGTCGCTATAAAAACGTTTAATTCCATGTTCTGTTTTTTCCCCTCCATCAATTAGTAAAACAATTATGTGGAACATTACTATATAAAATTGATAATGTTGTTAGTTTTATAAATTGGGAAACACTGATAATATTCTCAATTTTACTAAATAGAATTTATATGTTTAAAAAATCTTGGATAAGATCTGAGTAAGCATAACATTTGTAAATAGGACATTTAAGTAATTAACTCTTTCCACTTAGTTAATGTTAATTTTTTTTTTCGTTTTTTATTTTACTAATCAGCAAAAGAGAGAGTTTTACCTTCACTTTTTATTTCTCTTCTTTGATATCTCTCTTTTTGTTTTACCTGCAGATACAGATTGAGAGAGCTTTATCCTCTAAAATTCGAATCTCAAACTAGTTTCTTCTACAATATTTGTTTCAAAAAAAAAAAAGAAGAGAAAAAGTGGATTGAAAATGAGTGCCCTGCAAAGTGAATTTTCAAAGGGCAATTGCAGGGAGATTAGTTGAGCCAGTGATGCTCCACGTTGGTTTTGTTTCTCAGTACAAGAAGAAGCAGGAGAATCTGGAAGTTGAAATTAAAAACCTTGAAGAGCTGATAGAACATATGAAAGAAAAAGTTGATGAAGCCATTACTCGTGGTGAAGAAGTTGATGGACCTGTTTCAAACTGGCTAGCGGAGGTGGAAGAAAGAGTTCCGGAATTTAAGGATGAAAATACTGTTAACGAAAACATGTAGTGCTCTGTATTCTTATGTCCGGACTACATCTCGCGTTACAGAATGAGCAAGGAAGCCGAAAACAAGATCGCAGAAGTAAAAAAGTTCACTCAGAGTGGCAATTTTAGCACAGTTGCACTTCCTAAGCCATTTGCTCAAGAACTTCAATTCACATCGTCAAGTACAAACTATGAGAATTTTGAGTCACGAGAATTGGTTTTCAATAACATCATGGCAGCATTACAAGATTCCAATGTTAAAATGATTAGAGTATATGGAACAGGAGGAGTTGGAAAGACGACAATGGTCAAAGAGATTGGCAAACTAGTGAAAAATGGACTTTTTGATGAAGTCGTTGTGGCAGTTGTCTCTCAGAATGCAAATGTGAGCAACATTCAAGGGCAACTCGCTGATTGCTTGAATCTGGAACTAAAAGTGGAAACTGAAGTGGAAAAAGCGAGCAAATTGTGGAATAGATTGAACAATGGGAAGAAAAATCTCATTATATTGGATGATATGTGGCAAGAATTGAACTTGAAGACAATAGGGATTCCTATCACTGATGGAAACAATTGTTGCAAAGTTGTCATAACGTCTCGAATCCGAGGTGTGTTGGAAAAGATGCAAGTTGATAGATATGTCCCAATGCAAGTATTATTAGAGAAAGAAGCATGGGCCTTGTTCAAGAAGAAGGTGGGAAATTCTGTTGACTCTCCTGAACTCCATGATATAGCTGATGCAGTCTGTAAAGAGTGTGGAGGCTTGCCGGTCGCTATACTTGCAGTTGGAGCCGCATTGAAAGATAAGAAAAAATATGTCTGGGAAGATGTACTTGATCAATTCAAAGATTCCATGCTAAAGAATATTGCGGGAATTGACCCAAAGGTGTATGCTTCCTTAAAGTTAAGCTATGATTGGTTAGAATCTAGTGATGCAAAAGCATGCTTCTTGCTATGTTGTTTCTTTCCTGAAGATGCTAATATTTCAATTGAAGTGTTGGCGAGACATTGCATAGCGAGAAGTTTGCTTGGACAAAACATAAATACACTAAGAAGAGCATGCCGTCGAGTACTTATAGTGGTCGATGTCCTCAAAGATGCTTGTTTGTTATTAGAAGGTGAAGATGAAAACTTTGTCAAAATGCATGATGTCATTCGAGATGTTGCTGTTTCAATTGCGACAGATGATGGCAAGGAAATTCTAGTAAAACATGGTGTCAAAATCTGGCCCGAAAAAGATACATGCGAATCTTCCTCAGCAATCTCATTAAGGTTCGACAACACTCTTGAGCTTCCAGATGATTTGATATGTCCACAACTCCACACCTTGACCATACTATTGAAATGGAATATCAATCATTTGCTTAATGTTCCAGATAGGTTTTTCAGTGGAATGGAGAAACTTAAAATTTTAGAATTGAATAGAATCTGTATGTTGCCTCCATTATCTCTTGCAAATTTGGTTAACCTTCGGATGTTATGGTTAGATGATTGTGAGTTGGGAGACATAGCTGTACTCAAGGATCTAAATAATAACCTTGAAATACTTAGCCTTCGAGGTTCTAATATCAATGTTTTGCCATCAGAGATAGGAGAATTGACCCATCTTCGGTTGTTAGATCTGGGAAATTGTTACAATCTCACACAGATTCCACAAGGTGTCATATCCAATTTGTCTTGCCTGGAAGAATTGTACATTTTAGATGATTTTAAGCAATGGGAGGCCACAAGAGACAACAAGGAAAGAAGCAAAGTGAATCTTGATGAGTTGGGGAAATTGACGCAATTAACCACTTTAGAGATTCACATACCAAATGTCATGCTATTGCCCAAGGACTTCTACTTTGAAAACTTGATCAGATTTAAAATCTCAATGGGTAAGGACTATGTTTTTCATGGAAAGCCGTGTAGATTTGGGGGTGTTTCCTTAAAAATAGAAGGTTTACAAGTGGGGTCTTTGGTGGAACGCTTTGGACTAAATCCATTAGGATTCTTCAATAATTTAATTGTATTAACAATTCAAGATTGTAAGGTGAAATATCTCTTCTCCCTATCTTGTGCAAGAGGAATTCCACAACTCCAAAAACTACAAATAATAGATTGCAAGATGATGGAAGCAATAGTTGGAATTGAAAAAGAAAAAGATGAAGATGAACTCTCAAGTCAGGCAATTAATTTCAGTCAGTTGAAATATTTGCGTCTAGAGAATCTACCCAAGCTCATAAGCTTCTACCCCAAAGTGGAGAAGATGTCAACATCTGAAGGAAATTCTTCTACCCAGGCACAATCTTTGTTTAATGAAAAGGTATGCTTTATCAATACCCTTTTTATATGCTTTAATCCATTATAAAATGCTGATAATAAAAAAATAATAAAAAAAGGAATACAATGAAACAGTGCTAGGGTCTTTTCAATAAAAATCGAAATTGTTAGTCCTTAAAACAATCACCAAATTGTTTGTCACACAGTTCCAAACATGAAATCATTATAACAAATTAAGATTTTAAAAATAAAAAATTATGAATAATATCATATTTTAAGAACAAAATATTTAAGTTGCCAAAAGTGTCATTATTGTTAGGAAAAATCAATGATTTCCTACAAATAAATCAGTCGATGAAAATAAAAACTAATGCGAAAAAATTAAATCAAAAGCGACACAATAATTTTACGTGGTTCCCTCAATATGAGGTACGTCCACGGGATCGAAATCCGATTCCACTATTAACCAAATAAGTTTCCAAACGATTACAAACGAGAGACGAATGGTCTCACAAACCACCCTTAAGTGAATTCTAAATAATCATAAATAAATAAGAGGAAATATCTCACCAAATAGATGAACAAAAGTCTTCAAAACCAGAGTTGAAGATGACCCACAGCTTCACCAAAACACCCAATTATGCACACTAACAAGGCTTCAAAAAAACCGAAAAACAAAGCAAAGAACCAGCCAAATTAATTCCACTTTTCACTCACCCAAATAATTGATTCCACCGAATTGAAGTGTGTGTAGTAGTTGTTCTCTATATTACGGAAAAACAAAGCCATATATATATATATGTATGTGTGTGTGGGGTTGAATCTTGGGGATTTTTTTTTTTTTTATCAAACTCTAACTGTTATCAAATTGACTATCAAATATCTATCAGGATTCTAAAAAGTCAGATATAATAAATAAAATATATTATACCCAAACAAAACCAAACCAAATTAAAATACTTTTAATAAACCAATTGGGTGTCATACTCCACTACGGAGATATATCCCAACAATTCTCCCCCTATCGACTTAGGTGGAGACATCAACCATACCCGCCAAAGTTCGACATTTCAAATGTTTGTCCCTCGACAAAGTCTTAGTCAATATATCTGAAATATTATCATCCGTGTGATCCTTTTCGAGTTGCAACAATTTCGAATCTAACACATCACGAATCCAATGGTATCTCTCATCAATGTGTTTCGATCTCAAATGAAAAGTAGAATTTTTACTCAAATGAATAGCACTTTGACTATCACAATAAAGAACATACTTTTTTTGCTTCAAACCCAACTCTTGCAAAAATTTCTTCAACCATAACTCTTCTTTGCAAGCTTCCGTAATGGCAATAAATTCAGCTTCGGTAGCTGAGAGAGCAACACATTTTTGTAATTTAATTACCATGCCATAGCTCCCCCTGCAAAAGTCATCAAATACCCCAAAGTAGATTTTCTAGAATCAATATCACCGGTTATGTCAGAATTTGTGAACCCATCAAACATCGACTTACTATCCCCAAAACACAAACACACCTTCGAAGTCCCTCGAAGATACCTTAGAATCCATTTAACCGCTGCCCAATGTTCTTTACCCGGATTAGAGAGAAAACGGCTCACCATACCAATGGAGTGAGCAAATATCCGGCGTTGTACAAACCATGGCGTACATCAAAGAACCAACTGCTGAAGCATAAGGAATTTTCAGCATCTCTTCTTTGTCTTTCTCACTTGTAGGACATTGATTCAAACTAAGTTTGAAGTGACCTGCAAGTGGACAACCAACCGACTTTGTTTTATCCATGTTGAACCTCTCAAGAGCTTTCTCAATGTAGCTTTCTTGAGACAACCAAATCAACCCCTTTTTGGGATTACAAACAATTTTCATACTAAGTATTTGCTTTGCTGGTCCCAAATCTTTCATAGCAAAAGACTTACTTAACTCTAACTTCAACTTGTTAATCATGGTAGAATCTTAACCCACAATTAACATGTCATCAACATAAAGCAAAAGAATAATGAATTTACCATCCGGAAAATTTTTCACAAACACACAATGATCCGAAGTGATTTTAGAAAAATCATTATTCATCATGAAAGAGTCAAATTTTTTGTACCATTGTCGCGGGACCTGCTTGAGGCCATACAAACTTTTCTTCAATTTTTAAACAAATTTCTCTTTCTCTTTTTCCACAAAAACTTCTAGTTTCTCCATGTAAATTTCTTCTTCAAGATCACCATGAAGAAATGCGGTCTTCACATCAAGTTGTTCAACTTCAAGGTTCATACTTGCAGCCATGCCAAGTACAACCTGAATAGAAGACATCTTCACAATCGGCGAGAAAATCTCATCAAAGTCAATACCTTTCTTTTGCCCAAAACCTTTCACAACAAGACGTGCCTTGTACCTCAGATTCTTGCCATCATTCTTCAATTTGAAAATCCACTTATTTTTTAGAATTTTCCTCCTCTTAGGCAACTTCACTGAATCATAAATATGATTTTCAAGCAAGGAATCAATTCCTCTTCTATGGCCTTTTTCCAATCATCTTTCTTTGCATGCTCAATTGCTTCTTGGTAGCTCTCGAGCTCCCCTTGATCGGATATCAATACAAATTCATTAGGAGGATATTTTTTTGAAGGTTGCCGGTCCCTTGTAGATTTCCTCAACTCAAGTTGTGGTGGCGGCTCTTGAGTTAGATCATCTTCCTCAATTTCTGGCTCAACTTCATTAGGATTAGCATCATCCTCTACATTTTCAATGGGTGGCTGCACATCTCTCCCATTTTCATCATCAATTGAAGATGAAGGAGATGGATCCATGTCAATGAGATCACCAGTTTTTGGCTCCGGTTGATCACCTTTGCTAAAGTCTTCAATTGTTTGGTCTTCAAGAAACGCAACATCACGGCTTCGAATGACTTTCTTGTCGACCGGATCCCACAATCTATACTCGAATTCATTACGCCCATAGCCAAGAAAAATACATTGTTTTGATTTACTATCAAGCTTGGACCTCTCATCCTTTAGAATGTGAATAAAAGCTCGACAACCAAACACTTTCAAGTGCTCATAAGACACATCTTTGCCGGTCCAAACTCTTTCTGGAACATCACCATTCAAAGGATAGGAATGAGACAAATTGATCACGTCAACTGTTGTCCTCATTGTCTCACCCCAAAAGGATCTTGGCAATTTAGCTTGTGAAAGCAAACACCTTGTTCTTTTCACAATGATGCGGTTCATCCTCTTGGCAACGCTATTTTGTTGAGGAGTCTTCTTAACTATCTTTTGGTGCCAAATACCTTGGCTACGACAATACTCATCAAATGGCCCAATGTATTCACCACCATTGTCTGATCGGATGCACTTCATTTTTTGCCCTATTTCTCTTTCAATCATAGCCTGAAAATGCTTAAATACTTCTAGAACTTGACCTTTAGTTTTTAGTATAAAAGCCCAAACTTTCCTTGAATAATCATCAATGAAAGTAACAAAATAAAGTGTACCACTATGTGTTCTAACTTTCAAAGGACCACATACATCCGAATGAATCAACTCTAAAACATTTTATTTTCTAGAAGCAACAGTTTTATGAAAAGAAACTCTATGTTGTTTATCTGCCAAACAATAAACACAAGTTTTAAGATGTGTACCTTTCAAACCGGGTAGAAGGTATTTCTTGAACAAAACTTGTAGCCCCTTTTTCACTCATATGGCCAAGCCACTTGTGCCACAATTCGGTAGAAGTATCATCTTCAAGTGCATTGACAACACCTTTACAAATTTTTCTTTGCATCGAATAAGTGTATGAGTCTTCTTGCACTTAGCCACCACCAAAGAACCCTTTGTGAACTTTCATATTCCATTACCAAATTTGTTGTTGAAGCCTTCATCATCTAGCTTCCCGGTAGAGATCAAATTGAGGCAAATGTCAGGAACATGCCTCACATCTTTAAGTAACAACTTGCAGCCCAAATTTGTTTCCAAGCAAACATCACCCATGCCAATAATCTTGGACAAACCTTTATTACCCATTCGAACAGAGCCATAATCTCCTTTGGTGTAGGTAGTGAAGAAATCAACTCGAGAATTCACATGAAAAGAAGCACCAGAATCAATCACCCAATTGCTCTCTTGGCCTACAAAATTGATACAATTATTTTCACAAACGACCATGAAATCACCATTGGTAATAACTGCTGTTGTGTCTTCTTACTTCTTATTCATACTTTTGTCACGCCTTTTCTCCTTGTTCTTGAGCTTTCGACATTCTCGCTTCATGTGCCCTTTCTCATGGCAATAATAGCACTCAATGTCTTTCTTTGAAAAAGAACCATCTTTTGATTTATCACGGCTTTGATCATGACCATGAGGAGTCTTACTCCTCCTCCTTGTTTTGCTTCGGCCTCTCACAACAAATGCTTCCGAATGAGAGGAAGTAGCTGATTTTCTTCTAGTTTCTTTATTCAATAAGCTACTAGTGACTTGGCCCATTGTGACAACTCCATCAGGTGTCAAATTACTAACTGTCACAACCAAAGTCTCTCAACTTTCGGACAAAGAACTAAGTAGCATCAAAGCCTGCAACTCATCATCAAAAACAATTTTCATAGAAGCAAGTTGGTTAACAATACTCTTTATTTCATTCAGATGTTCCGGAATAGGGTTGTCTCTTTATTTTTTAAATTAACCAACTTATGAAACAGAAAAACTTTATTTGTGGTTGATTTCCTATCATAAAGGCCTTCTAATTTTTTCCATAACTCATGTTCTGAAGTTTCAGTAGCAACATGATGAAACACACTATCATTAATCCATTGATGGATAACACCAACGGCTTTTCGATTAAGCCTCTTCCATTCATCATCTTGCATACCTTTGGGTTTGCCACTGTCACCCTCAATTGGCCCATACAAATCTTTACAAAATAATTGGTCCTCCATTTTAGTTTTCCAAGTTACCCAATTGCTTCCATTGAAGCTAGACATGCAACCCACATTTCTCCCCATTGATTTACACAAATAAATAAATCCAAATAAACCGT